GCAATATTTTAATCAGAAAGATGGATTTGAAAATAGTTTTAATAATTTTCGTATGGATTCTTCGTTATTTCGCTTTCAAGATACAGACTAAAGATTTTTGTTAATTACCTGCTGTCTTTCGTTATGCTACAAGAATCATTGTTTGGTTTGGATAGCAAAGAGTTAAAAAAAAAAACACCAAAGTACAGAATCGTCTACAAAAATTGCTTTGAAAGCCTTTTTTTATTGACTCTTTGCCACCATTATTTTAGTATTTTCGAAATTAAATCGATTGAACATACAAGTAAAACTTGTATTTTGTGAATGGAATAATATGAATACTATAATTTTAGCTGTTACTAATGAAATTATTAATAGATAATGCTTTTTATCAACCAATTAAAATCTACCTTGTCGATCAGTCTACTGTTGCATACCATTAATCTTTTTGTTCTTTCAAGAATTAAGAATGCTTGCTTTATCCCGAAAAAGCCGTTGTTATAAATTTAAATTATATCCTACATTGGAACCGTCTTCAATGCAAATTCCTTTTATTCCTTTTAACCGAATTTGATGGGAAGAGAACATCAATATTGAAGAACTGGGCTAGATTAAAAAAAAAATCTTTGAGAAGTCTCTGAAATGACTAAAATGAACAGAATAATTGGTAAATGTTCTAATAAAATCTCCATGTTGTCTCTAAGACAATTCAAAACTGAGTTGATGTAGTGAGCAATGGCGTAGCCGGTTTCAGTGCTGCCTGATAATTTTGCGCTGTTAGTTCAGTTCGAAAGTTGGTTATCCGTTACATTCATCAAAGAAGCCAGTGATGAATGTGTCATGCTAATCATGAAGGAAGTTCGGCTATTTCCATCAATCATGTTGTAAAAAAAAGCATTACTGAGGCTTCGTATTGCGGTACAAAATGCAGTCTTGAAAAGTTTGAAATATCATGGAGATTTTGTTGAAAAGAGTTCTTTGAAGGTCCTCATCCATGTGGTCCATGACTGCAGTAAATTCCACAGCTCCAGCACCACCATCTAGTGCACCACGTGATTTAACCATCATGCAGCCAACTGATGGTGATCAGCAAACACTGATACTGAATTGGCAACCGCCGAAGTATGCTAATGGTGATATTGAAGGTATAGATTGGGAAATTATTGAAATATATTTGTTTGGCATTTTATATTTTATTTTGTATTGTATTACTATTAGTAAATATAAACCTATTTTGGAGATTTTTGGTTGTTTCAGAGTTGGAGATTTTTGGTTGTTTCAGAGTACTTGGTGTATTATGCAGATCGATCTGATGCACCTGATAAGGACTGGATTCTGGATGGGGTAAAGGTGACCATTTATCAATCAAGTTGACCAATTTACTACCTCGACAAACATATTTCTTTAAAGTTCAAGCACGTAATATCAAAGGATATGGTCCGTTATCTCCAACACTGCAATTTGTGCCGGGTGCACCACCACCACGATTATTCCAGGTTTGTCCTAAAATCATTTTTTCTCAAATCTTTTAGTTTATTTATACCATTAATCATTTGAAAGTTGTAATAAATGTGGAAATTTATTTCTGTTACCCAATTACAAATATAATACACGTGAACCAGCTTTGTTCTTAAGAATTTTACTGTTTATCGAATTTCTTTTTCAGTAATTTTTTTAACTGTAGAAGTGTTTCTTAATAATGATTGCATTGCTTACATATTTAAAAATTTTTTTCAGAATGTTGACATCGATTTGGAAACTCCTCGTCTAGCGTTGTTTTCCACGCCAGCTTATCTGGCAATCATGGCGGCAATCGTTATTCTGTTCATAGTCTTGATGATCACCGTGATTTGGTATATAAGATCAAAGAATAGCAAGAAATCAACGACCGCAGGCTATGTGCGTGGAAGGAAACAAGTGAGAAATGGCAAAGGGCCCCCTGATTTATGGATTAATCATCATAGCGGTGGACACCAAATACATGAGCCGGGTATTTTTACGTGGTTTTCGAAATTCAAATTAATTTATCTTTTGAAATATAAATTAAATAAGACTTTGATTGGTGTTATATGTTTACTTTTGTTTTTCAGCTATCAGCACTTGCTTATCTATTTACTCTTATCTGCTTTCTGCTTGCTTATTTTGTTCGTTGTTCCAGCTGTAAGCAAGCTCGGCAGGAAGATTAAGACAGGTGGCATATGTAAAGTAAATTATGAAAGGAATGAAGAGGATATTTTGAAAAGAATGAAGAGGAAATTAACTTTGTTTCGTTTTGATTTTCACAGTAGATTAAACAGTACTTCCACATAGTATTTATACTTTCTTTTCTCTATTTATAAAACTTGGTCAAAATTATCTGTTACGTTGCACCTTGTCGTTCGAATAGTAAGTTGGATTCCGTAATTATAGTGGAACAAGTCGCATGATAAAATCACTCACTTTTTCTTACTTTTGCTTTGAATTAGAACTAATAGACTATGAGTATCTGTTGTGTGTAATCTTTCTTTTCTATCAAAATACATGGCAACAATTATTCCAGTCTCAAGGTCATGTCATTTTTGAAGTTTGCAACTCTCTAATTACCAATTGATTGGCTACAATCCATAATTCATCCATTTTGAACCGCTTTAAAATCAGTATATTCGTAATTAAGAACGGGAATGTACATCATTATAGAGAATCTGATTGAAGAAGCGCTTGCAACATCATTAAACGATTTAAATCATTGCGATGATGTAATCGAAATGGTCGATTCACCACGATCTCAATATCTTGCTGTCCAAGGTGCTGCTTCGCTTTCGTTTTTGCATATTTGAGTGTTTTTGTTCATCTTTTTCGTTTTGACAATTTCATTTTGCTTCCACTGTTTGTTTATTATTGAGGAAAATTTTAAGGGCAAAAAAAAAAAAATTATATGACAGCAGTGCATTTTGACTTTATTTTGCTTCACACATATTTGTGAAATGCATGATGCATATCTTTTACAAAACATGTAAATGAATGGTATGCTAATTTGATCATTGTTAACTTACCATTCCATTTTAGTTTCTAAATAGTTCTGCTGCTTCTAGATCTTCGCTGTCAAAATAATTGGAATGACGAGCTTGGATTAACTTGGATTTAATTCTGCCACTTTTTACAGTTTATGTTCATATTTGTTTTGTAGGTGTATGCATGTTAATTACTTGCAGCATGTTTTGAGACAAAAATGCATTTCATGTCAACAACGCATGGCAATGTGGTATTTTTCAATGTAGCTGGTGATGTTTTTTGCTAGATGTGATATACAGTGCAGTTGCATGCCTCATAGTACCTCATAATCTACAATCCACAACTTGCATTTGTCGTCCGTCGATATATTTGCACTTTTCAAGATGAACAATGCAATAGATGGTCAGCGAATTTCAGCTCACTTCACCGATCCCGAGTATATTGAAGCGAGAATGACTCAGTCAGTTCATGATGGCATCATTCAACGACGACGGCCTGTGGGAAAAGCAGAGCTAATCTCAACTCATACCGTCATGTCACAGAATCCACTGCCCGGTGTTGTAACTGGTGATTGTAAGTGTGGCTGTATCAGTAGTAGCGCTGTTGTATTGCTTGTTAAGACTCTCAAAGTATTCTCATTGCATCAAATTCTCCTTTATCTGCAGTTTTTTACTTTGCGGTGGGTAGCACAAGTCAAATCCTTAAAAATGGATTACTTTCATCTCTTATTTGTCTCCACAATAAGTTTTTCCGTTAAATTATGCCATGATACACTTACAAATTTCACATAGATTGCACAAGACACGAAATTGAATTGTGAATGCAAGTTACGAAAATTGAGTTTTAGGAATTTTTCTGTTAAATCCTGTTTTGTAGATAATTTGCTAGATTCTTTAATGCTACCCTGCTGTTTGAAAGCTTTTTAAAAAAGAGGTTTCGCATTCGCACGGTATTTGTTTTATTTCTTACTTTTTCATATAGATACTGTAGATATTCAGAAATAGTTAGAAATTATGCCAGTAATTCTGTTTCCAGGCATATTTGTAATCACTTCTCGTCAATACACCGCACATTTTCATGAAAAAAATAAATTTTGATATTTCATATCTCCACCTTAAAAATTTCGCATTTCTTCCTAATACCTCAACAAACATAAATTCAGGTAATGGTACTTTAACACGGAGTTATCATCAATCATCGACTAGCCTTGAAGGACGACAAAGAACGCCTCAAATTGTTTATACAAATACAGGCCGACATCAGGTGTTTCTTTAGTTTATGTTTAGGGAAAATGTAAACACTTTTGGGAGATATTTTGAATAAAAGGAGTAAGTAACAACGATTATTTTTGAAAGGAAAATCATCTAAAAAAATGTCGAAGAATTGAATACTTAATGAAGTTTGTACATATTTAAAAATTTGAAGTTATATTTATATTAACGCACATTTGAAGTCACATATTTGAAGTTAATTAAAAACATATTTGAGGTTAATTAAAAACAAAAGAAATGTTTAATATACAAAGTCGGTTTATACGGTGTAGTATTATTTAGTAAGGACTCAAACATTAATTTAAATCAAAGGAGTTAAAAATTGTCGAATGTTGATTTTCTCCAGGTAGCTAAAATCGATTTTTCTGACCATAGCTCGACGTACAGTTCATCTCAGGCACTTCACATATCGACCCCACCTCCGCCCCAATTACCTAATCAAGGACCGCCCGTTGCTCCACCCACTCAATTGCTCAACAACGATGGTTATCGGACGTTGCGCAGAAATTCTGTCAATTCAAATCCGTTAAAATCATTTACACAACTTGCTGGAGCACCACCACCAATCACTCCCTCATCAGGCATGTTAACTTTTGTTTGAAGAAAAAAAACTGATCATTAATTATTCGTGTTTCTTTTAATAGTATAGTATATTTTGTTTAAGTTTTAACTGTTTACTACTTAATGTCTGTTCCATATTTCACATTGAGCATCAGAAGCACTATCTATTAATGAATATTTCTAGGATCAGGTGAGCGAATGGCGCATGTAGTTAGACCGCTAGTTGTTGCATCTCCAAATAATAGGAACGGAAAGCCTGCTGGTGTTGTTATTGGTCAGAAGTCATCTCATGTTCCTGTGGGACGTGCAACTGCACAACCGCGTGTTAACGTCAATAATATTTACTCACCATATGCATCTTGTGTGATGCCGGAGAAAGCTGCATTGCAACGTGAAAATGTTATTGAAGCGCAACCATTACAGGTTCTTCTTTTGCTTATTTTCACCAAACACTGAGGTTTTAATTTCATGGTCTGATGTGCTTGTAAACATTGCATCCAAGAGATGTTTCACCGATTAATGAAATTCTAGGATGATTAATTTCACAATAACCACATTTTTCTCTTCCTTTAAAGTGTTTTCATGTTTCAGGCTTCGGCTTCCACAGAGGAACTGAATGCGCAAATGGAAAATCTGGACACAATGATTGATGATTTGCAAGCGCTTCAACATGAATTCAGTGCAACTACATGAATGATTGTGTATTGTTGAATTGGTTGTTATATGAGTGCTATCTTCAACTTTCCAGTAATTTCTCAGAAATTCCTCAGCAAGCTGGTCGATGACGATCTCAGTTCTCGGTGTGTTTTATTAAATGGATATATGTTAATCCCAACATATAGCAGCACTCCATGAATGGTTACGCTTTATTAATTTGTTATGATCCATTTTACCATAGTGTTGAATTACTAAAAATAATTTTGACCGTCAACAAGTTGATTTTCTTATAACAGTTTTACAATCATTTCCTTTCTTTTCAGCGCCCTTTTCAATACAGATAATTTTTTTTACTTTAGAAATCACCTAAAAACTTAAAAACTCCGATGCTTTATCATATAAGGACGTGAAACTGCGCCTTATTGTTTATATATTATTTTTTTTTTTTTTTTCATTAAAATTTTCTCTAGGAATCATTAAAATGTGAACCACTTTTTCTGATTCACATAAAACCTTGTTGTTGAGATTTTTCGTTGTTACTAACATATTGTTAAATTCGACTGAAGTAGAACTAAAATCTTGCAAATCTAAATATAAATTGAAATCTGAGGAAGAAATAACAGTGGTGTATATAATGTTCATGTCTCTTCCTTGTTCTATTTTTTTTTTTTTTTTTTTTTTGTTTCATTTTTTTTAGCAGCAAATAACCTTTATAACCAGTTTTGGTACATAGTTTATGTAAAGGTCAAAAATAATATCATATCAAATAGTAAAAGCATAGTAGAGATTGCCGATGCCATATTACTAAGTGGTGTAGAAATTGAAGAGATTAACAAATAGAAGTTGAACTTTTCCTATTTTTTTCTTAAGTTCAAATACATCGTGTTTATCGTGTCCTGTTATTTTTTTTTTTCTTCTAAGATATGTACTGTGCATTTTGCATTTTATATCTCACCATATTCTTAGTACTAAATTTTTGCTTAAACGTATTGACTGGCTAAGAAATCAAAACTTTGTTGCCTTATGTAATCGAATGCTTTCATTTTTCCAGATTTTCTAGATTCTGATTGAATTACCATCTCTTCTTCATTTAAAATATCAAAAATTTTATTATGTAGGCATTCAAAGCATTTGCTGTCCTTGGCTGTTTTTTTTTTCATACTTTTCAGAATTTGCTTGTCTCATTCATTACATTAAATATTAAAGCACGCATGTTAAAAGCGTATTGAATTGTTTGATACTTCAGTTATTAATTTGGCTCTGTTATATGATATTGAAGTTTCAAACTTATTATATGCACTTATGTGAAGGACTTCAGTTTAGGTATCTCCGCATTACTTTAATTTTACTAAATGTTGTAAAGTTGTGAAGTATTCATTCCATGAAATAGTTTCATAGGTTGGAAGTTCTATGAAAAAGAAGACTCATCCTAAATTTGAATTATAATTGTCTTATTAATTGTGTTTTCTTCTCATCTTTTTTTTTTTTTTTTTTACTCTTCATGGATGCAAATAATTGAACATTTCTCTTTCATATTGTTGATCACCTTGTGTTATTGTGCATTAAAAATTTTGTACCCATCTACTACCACTGACGTCCTTTATGATGAATAAATGATTTTTTTTTTTTTGAATTTTGCTTATTTCTCACTTTTGTTTCTTATTTTTTTAAGAAAAGAGAAAGGATGAATAATTAAAAATAATTAAGAGAGTTACTCTGATAATGATCTATCTTTTGGTGATAATCAATACATATTTTAATTACATGTGTATATAAGCGGTTGATTCATTTCAGATTAATCATTTCCTATTGTTTTAAACATTTGCTATGTTACCTTTTCTTTTAACATTTTTACTTGACATTTTATTTATTAATGATATTCATGCACAAGAATGGCAATGCTACGATGTATTAAAACAATGCATCAGTGGTAATAGTAATTTGCTCGATATCAATATGATTAATTCTAGTAATATCAATCATTTTTGTGAAACCTATACACAATTAATTATTCCATGTTTAGCAAAAAGAGTAAGTTATACAAATTCTTTTCCATTCAGCTATTAATTTCTGTTGAATTTAGAAAATTATTTTGTACTTTAATTTCATGATCAACGATAGTTCTCGCCTAGTGATGATAATAATAGCTAATCAATTGGTCTGTTTCTTTTATTTTTTGTTTAGATATCCACAAGTAAAACTGTTCTAAGATATTTGTGCTATTTAAAGAAATCGGTATGAAATTGAAATGAAATTTTAATAAGATATATTGGTATTTCGAAATTGTTACGTGGGAGCATTTGTAGAGAATTATGATGAACACAGTTAGAAAGGAGGGAAAGAGAAACAAGATTATAATATGGTAGATATGATACGTAACTTAGTTCTGACATTATTGTGTCACTCATTTTTCCAGATGAATGAGAAGCCGGGTGTTACCTATCGTGAAAGGTATCTGGTTTTCCGGAAATGCATAGAAAATGATCTGTCGAGACAAAATGATTCGGTATGAGATTGAAATGAAATTTTAATATGATATATTGGTATTTCGAAATTGTTACGTGGGAGCATTTTTAGGGAATTATGATGAACACAGTTAAAATTCTACGTTTATACCTATACAGCTGCATTTATAATAGTATGGCAGATATGTCGCAAAGCAATTGCTTTATGTAAAACGTTTATATCTTCAGTTCTCGTCTTTTTTTTTTTTTCAAGCAACTTTAAGCAGTTTTTATAAAATTAGCATTAAGAGAGCAAATTTCACGTAAAATTATACAAAAAGATTTGGAAATTCTGAATTAATCACATACATGAAATTGCGATATTTATTTAAATATTTGTAAATTTCTAGTAAACTGGTTCAAAATTGTGTAGAAAAATTCCAACAACTCGTAAATGTTACTACTGGCCTTGTAAAAGTCAAGATTTTCTGACGCTTAAACGATCCAATTTAATACTTCCAAAAGAGGACGAAGAAGATAAAGACGATGAAGATTACAATGAAGCCAGTAAGAAAGAAGTTGACAAAGTTCAATTCGAAATGGCATTTTCATTACAAATAGATAAGTTTGATACTAGTTACTAATCGGTACAATGAAATTAATTACTCTCTAAATTTTAAGAAAACAGTTATGATGGTGATCATAAAACTGGGAAATGGAAGAGTAGCAGAGTTCAGATTACAAACAATTCTGTCACTCCAAACGGAAACAGTCAAATAATGAAACAGAAATTTGCCGTTTATTTCATTGCATTTGTATCGATCACAAAATATTTCATTTTGAATTGAATGAATTGAATCAATGAACTGAATATCAGTCTCTTTGTTAAATAAATCATTATAAACAGCTTATAAATAAATTCGACCAATTCACAACGATGTGATAAGAATAATAAGAGCTTGTCATAAGTATAGCGATGATATCAGTCATATCATAGCTATCATTAGCTTAGATTATTCTACGTACTAAAAAACTTAACAACTTCTTTAAAACTCAAATTAAAAATGATAAAAGAAGGGATTGTGAAGCATTTATTTATATCACAGGTAAGTAATCCCAGTAATTTCAATCATTAATGAAAACAGATTCCATTGCCTTCCATTTTATGTTTTGTATGTGTCCCAATATCGTATCACTGAAACTTTTTCCTAAAAAAAATTTTGTACAATGAGGGAATTTTTAATACTGAAATGAAATGAATTTACTAATTGACAATATGTTGTATAAATTTGTAATTAGCTTTTTTGTAAATTCAAAAAAATTTGTAAATTCAAAACAATTTTTCCATTTCACATGTTTGTACATTTAAATAAACAAAAAACAAAACTTTTAATTCTTTTTTAGAAAACGAATTTTTATGCAAATGTCGAAAATTGTAAGAAAATGCTATAAAGGTATTAGTTGCAATTATTTTAAGTTTTGAGAAGAAGGTTTAGCATCAGTCTGCTAACAAATTGATGCTAATTATTTTGCTAACATTTTTTCCATTGCTTATTTCACCAATTTTTTCAGCTCTTAAGTTTAACGGTAAACGGTGCTACGATAGGTTAGCAGAATGTGCACAAACAGCTAATATCTTATTAGATGTTAAGCGTATAAATTCAAGGATAATTGATGAATTTTGCTTCAATTATATATATGTAATTATTCCATGTTTAGCTAACAAAGTAAATTTTATTTCTCTTTTAAAACTATTATTGTTTTCTGCAATGATATTGTAATTAAATTACGTTGAATACCGTTTTCAGGCTTGTTTTTTAAAAGAACATTTTTTCTAGTGAAACATTGTTATATTATGTTATTATTGTAGTAGCACATTTCGAATTGTTTTTTATTTGACAATTAATTAATCATCTTTAAATTTATTTGTGATATCGATTTTATAAGGAAATTTTATGCAAATCATCTTTCATTCTATACATTAAATTTGTTAAAAAATGATTAACTGTCAAATAAGCGAAATTAAAATGTACTGCAGTTATAGGTAGATGAACTGCATATATAATATTATGATGCCTTATAGAAAAGTATTTATTTGAAAAATAGACCTGAAAATGATATTTATGAAAATATTTGTTATCAGTTCAACTTTGTTATAAAATAGACCGATACTTTTAAGATATTTGATTAATGCGTGTTTGCTACATATAACAAAGAGAAACAGTGTGTGTATGACGTAAAACTCTTTGTAAGTAATGAAATTTAAAAATTTTAGATAGTCAAAAGAGAAGACTCAAACTTTTTCAATAAAAGCCTTATTCATATTCTTCAACATTGCAACAGCAAATACAATATGAATTATTCCAATACGGTGTGTTTTGTTTAAATAAATTAAATTACTTAATTAAATTTAGTTAGTCCATTGATAAATGAGGAAAAACAGTAGCATTTTTGCAAAAATTAAATGTAAAATATGTATAGGATAACTGATTGCTATTCTCTACCATACTAGATCAGATAATTTCAATTTCAGTTTGTTAAAATAATTCAAAGATTTCCTCATACTTATGTTTAATTTGATATATTCCTGTT